AGTGTGTGGGTATAGTAAGAACTGCAGGCAGTGCAGGTTCATATCTATGTATAGTTGAAATTAACAGGCAAAGAAGTGAATTGTTAAACGGTGTGAACTCCTGCAGACAGCTATACAGGACACTGGGGAAGATGTCTGATGATCAGACACCCTGAAGATGATCCACTGCCTCCAATTTTTCTCCAGGAACACCCTTTTCCCTGAGCTACTTGTGAATTTTATTTTCCAGTCACACCTCCATCCTAAGGAGTGTCATTTCTGGAGCCCTGTCTTTTTTAATTATCCACATCATATTATTTTTAATTTGTCCCTAGGAAGAAGGTTTGTCCATGAGTGGCTAGCACTCCCTGCCATGAGATTTCTGACAGGCGTCGTCCTCTTAGAAACAAGGTTGTCAAGGTAAGGTTGCACACAGGAGAACAGTATGTACTCAGAGAGGAAGTGAATTGAACATGCAAAAATGCACTAGTTGCAACAACACTTACAATAATATAGCAGAATCTTGTGAAAGACGTAGTCAGGTTGGCAGGGCCGGCTCCAGGCACCAGCCGACCAAGCACGTGCTTGGGGCGGCACCTTCTAAGGGGTGGCCAATCTTGGGGTGGTGGGGCAGCGCTCTGGGTTTTTTGTTTTGTTTTGTTTCGGCGGGGCAGTGCTCAGGGTTTGTTTGTTTGGTTCGGCGGGGCGGCGCTCAGGGGTTTTTGGTTTTGGTTCGGCGGGGTGGCGCTCGGGTGGGGTTGTTTCGGCGGGGCGGTGCTCGGGTTTTTTGTTTTTGTTTTTTTTCTCGGTGGGGCGGCGCTGGGGGAGGTTGTTTCGGCGGGGCAGCGCTCGGGGTTTTTTTGTTTGTTTCGGCGAGGCGGCACTTGGGGGGGTTGTTAGGGTGGAGCGGCGCTCATTTTTGTTTGTTTTTTTGCTTGGGGCGGCAAAAAAGTTAGAGCTGGCCTTGTTGTTGGATGAAAAAATGTGAAATGTGCTCTGTGCACAGGTCTCTTTCCTTTACTCCCTCTCTAGCTATTTAGTGTTGATGTACAAGGGACTAAACCAGAATATAGGTAGTTTTCCACAGCAGTTAAAGGGTTAAAAAAGATACAAAATTAAGCCTTTTTTGATTTAATTTACATAATGATTTTGAGGTGCTCAAACACTGCTCATCACAAAAATACCTGGGTCCCTGACATAAAATAAAAACAAGCAATACATTAAAAAAGGCCCACAGCAACATAGAATAGCCCCTAATGCTCTAGCTGCCAAGTACAGGTCCAGGCCTCAAGGAGGCTCTAAATTGTGCCATCTGCAATGGCCCCCAAAAGGAAATCAGCCAAATATCACTGGGCAAGGACACACTGATCACACCCTCTATGCCACTGGCTGCAGTAGGGCAAAGCATACTTAACCGGGACAAAGATCTGGCCTTACGTGGTAGCCTCCACCTTCAGCCTCAAAATATAGTAAGCTGCAATAATTCAGTCTGAAGGTAATGAATGAATGGATCATTGTGATTAGATAGATCCTCCACTGAGATGAAGAGGCACAGCGTCCTAGTGAGCTGGAAGTGGAAGAAAGGATTTATCTTTAGAGAGACAAGGTGGGTGAGGTAATGTCTTTTATTGTTGTTACATACATGGCTAGGATTAGCAATGAGTCCGATAGAACTCTGAGATTTCATTCTAATTTGGCAAATGGAGTGCATAAGCTTTTGACAGAGGAAGAAATTAGTAGCACGATGTGGGAGCAGCTCACTCTGCCCTCCAACGTGAGAGAAAACTGATCAAAACAATATTGATTGCATTGTTTCTGTATTTTAATCTGAGTTAAAATGTGAATGGGGGAGTATAGAGACTTTCAAGAGAAGAGTATGTGTGTTGTGTTGAGGGAGAAAGAGAAAACAAAATTCTGAAAGAGCTGTCATCTTTGGGCGAGAGCCCAGAGCCTCATTGTCTGAGTGCTCCCTAGAGTCAATTGGAATTCCACCTGTGTGTGTGTGTATGTGTGTGTGTGTGGTGGGGCGGGGGGGCTTACAGGGTCATGCATTTCACTTCCACCATGACTATTAATATTATACACTGGGTACAGTGCAATCCCTACGTTCTTGCTTGTGTGAGAGAAAGAAAGAGTGTGGGGCAGAGAGAGACAAACAGAAATTCCATTTGGTTCTTAATGAGGTTCTTCAAATATGCCTATATCAATTAGTGTCCCCTTGCAGCCAACTACAGGGGCACTGGAACAATTTTTATAGTGGGGGTGCTGAGAGCCATTGAACCAAACTGTAAACCCCTGCACCCTAAGTTCCAGGACCTATGGCCAACTATAGCTAATACACAGTATTTATATGTATTTGCAGGTTGGCAACTGAGGTATTAGGCACCTTTCAGAATTTTGTCCGGAGAGGCTGTGTGACTGGCCTACACTCTCACTGGACGTCTGTGGCAGAGCTGTTTCCAACCCCAGCAGCCTAGAACCTCCTGTGTTCTCACTGATGTCCTGCCTCCTGTAGGTGACAGTCAAGTAAGCAGCGTTCAGTTAAACTAGTAGTAAGCACAGGAGGCCTGTCAGGTTCTAATGCAGCCTGCAGTTGCCCTCATCCTCATTACTGAGCTGGGGCCTGTAGGCCGACTAGGAAAGCCCTTGTGCTGGTACTCGGACTAATGTCCTGTTGCCCCTTACAGGAGTTAACTCCCCACTGAGCAAATAGAGCTGTTGACTCCTCTCAGAGCTACTGTCTCAGGCAGCCATTGCTGCATCAGTGACACCCCGCTCACTGCTAGCTCCCTTTGCAATGACACAGGGCTAGAGGCGCAGGCTGTTCATGGAGGGCAGCTCAGGCTCCGGTACATAAGGTGCACACCTGCGTTGGTGTGGGTAGTCTGGTCCCCCTGTGCCCAGTAGCGGATTTACCATGGAGCCACTGGTTCCATGGAGCCGGGCCCACACTCCAGGGGGGCCCCGACCAGGCCCACTCTTCTCTGCCCCCCGCTCTCTCCTGCGGGGGCAGAAGCTTGGTGCTCCTGGCACTGAGGCTTCTGCTGCAGTAGGGCAGCCACGCTCCCCCTCCCCTGCCTCTTCTCCCAGCTTGCTCCCTTCCCGCCCTCCCCGGCACTGCCGCCGATCAGCTGTTTGCCAGCAGGAGGGTGGGGGAGGAGCACAGCTGCGGCACGCTCACCTGGGGAGAGGAGGCAGAGAAGAGGTGGGGTGGGGTTTTGGGGAGGGGGATGGAACGGGCATACCTACTCTGACTGCAGAGCTGCACAGCCAGGCTGAAAAAAGAAGGTGCTGCTCAGCTCCCCAGACATTGCAGCTGGACACCACCTTCTGGGTCCTAGTGCTGATTGAGCTCCCTTCTGTGTGCTGGGAGCCATCCTTCATCTTGTACAACAGTGAGTGCCATGGTGGGGCAGGCAGGGCAGGGGGACAGAGGCAGTGGGGAAGGAAGGGGCATGGGATGGGGAAGAGAAGGGGATAGGGCAGGGATCGGCAACCTTTGGCACGCGGCCCACCAGGGTAAGCCCCCTAGTGGGCCAGGCCAGTTTGTTTACCTGCCGCATCCGCAGCTCCAGGCCAATGGGGGGCTGCAGGACGAGGGATGTGCTGGCCGTGGCTTCTCGCAGCCCCCATTGGCCTGGAGCGGCAAACCACGGCCAGTGAGAGCCGCAATCGGCCAAACCTGTGGATGCGGCAAGTAAACAAACCGGCCTGGCCCGCCAGGGGGCTTACCCTGGTGGGCCACATGCCGAAGGTCACCAATCTCTGGGATAGGGGAAACGGGGGCACAGCATGCAGATCCCCTTGGCAGCAGCTGGGGCTCCCCCATTAAGCAGGCCCATCAAACCCTCACCCTGACAAGCCCCACCTCCCCTGCATCTGTACCACTCCAATGAGCCCCCCCAGACACCCTCCCCACTGAGCCATCTGGATCCCCCCACACTAAGTCCCTCTGCACTTGGATCCTGCTGCCGGGCTGAGCCTCCCTGCCCACATCTGGTGTGCCTGGTGCAAAAGGGGCAGGGCCCCAGGGTGTTTCTGTGGCAGGCCTGGCCCTTGTGCTGTGTCAGGGTCAGGTTCAGTCTGACTGCCAAGTCCCTGTCCCAGGGGGGGTGGGGGAGGCTGCAGGGTGATCTCCCACCTCCATGCAGCCAGTGGCCTGTGCTCCCCACTGCCATGGTGGAGCTTCCACATTTATTTATTATAAAAAAAAAATCAGAATTTTAAAATATTATGCACAGAATTTGATGCAGAATTCCCTCAGGAATATGGGGCGCTGTACAGCTGTGATGGTGGGACAGTGAAGGGGGTGCTGGACAGTAGGGGATCTGTGGGTGGGGGAGCTGGGCAGGGGGTATGGTGTGCAGGGTGCTGTGCAGTTGCGGTGGGAGGTCAGCGGGAGGGGTCTCTAGGCAGGGGGTGCTGGGCATAGGGATCTGTGGGGGAAGTCTCTGAGTGAGGGGGCGCTGGCATAAGGACAGGGCACTGGGTGGGGGGCAGTGTGGAAGGGGCACACTGGCAGCGCAGGGCTGGGCAGGCCAGTGTGTGTCTAGCAGTTTGGGGTTTGTAAACAGTTCCCTTGTGCTGGGCTGAGTAGCGCCACTCCCACTGCGCTGCGCCTCATTGCCCCAGCTGGCCCCTTGCTCTGCGGACCACCCCGCATCACATGCCCTATTTCCCCAATGGGGGCCCACAAATATGTTTGGCGCCGGGCCCACAAAAAGTTAATCCGGCCCTGCCTGTGCCAACCAAGCCCCTTATCCCCCCATACTGCATGTCCCTGCGTGCCCGCCCCACAGCGCCCCCGCTGGCACCAGCAGCCCCTGCTGGCACGTGCCCTCGCTGGGTGTGGGCGAGCCAAGCAGAACTACCTCTCCCAGCATGCCCTGGCCCCATGGTTCGGAACCGCACATCGAGACTACAAATCCCAGCGTGCCCCGGGGCGAGAAGGCGTGTCCTCTGCTGGCGCCGCACCGCGGGGCGCGCACCGCTGGGGTCCTCTCTCACCGGTCAATAGGAGATTGGCGCACGTGCTGCCTCGTGGCTCCGTCGGGCCCATGCGCGCGCGGGCTGCTAAGTGATATGATTGGTTCTTTCTTCGCGGAGGGGGCGGGGCTGAGAGGATTCGGAGAGGCCGCTGCCGCAAAGGCGATAAAGCGGCGGCGTCCGGCCCGGGCTCGGAGGCCTAGTCGGTGTGCCCCGCCCCCCCGCCATGCCGAACCGCAAGGGCGCGCGCAACGCCTATTACTTCTTCGTGCGCGAGAAGCTGCCCGAGCTGCAGCGGAGCGGCCTGCCCGTGGCCCGCGTGCCCGACGCCGTCCCGCTCTGCTCGCGGGACTGGGCGGTGAGCGGGGCCTGGCCAACACCGCGGGACCCCCCACATACTCTCACCTCGGGATGTCCATTGCGCTCTCCCCTCCGTCAGCCCCGGGCGTGCAAACCCTCCCCCAACACACATCCTCCAACCTCAGGTGTGCAACCCCTCCCCTCTGCCAACACACATCTGCCAACCCCAGGTGTGCATCTCCTCCCCCTCCAACCCTGGGCGTGCATCTCCCCGCCCCCAACAGACATCCTCCAACCCCTGGTGTGCATCCGCCCATTACTCGCCCCCAATCCTGGGTGTGCATCCCCCCAACACACCTGCCAATGGGCATGCCTCCCCCCCAGCCCTGGGTATGTATCCCACCCCAATACATTCTCCAACCCCAGGCATGCATCCCCTTATTACCCCCCCACCTCTGGGCATACATCCTTCCCCTCCAACCCCAGTTGTGCATCACCCCCCCACACACACATACCCTCAATTCCGGGCATGCCTCCCCTCTGCACACCCTTCTCCAATCTTGGGCGTGCATTCCCCCATACACACGCCCTGGGGTGTGCATCCCCCCCATACACACCCCCAACTGTGCATGTGCATCATCCCCATACACACACCCAACCCCGGGTGTGCATTCCCCCATACACACACACCCAACCCCGGGGGTGGATCCCCAACCCTGGGTGTGCATATTTCCCCTACGCACACATCCTCCAACTCTGAGCGTGCATCCCCCCCACCAACGCACACCCTGCCCTGGATGTGTATTCCCCTATTACCTTTTCCCTACACCTACCCCTGGACATGCACCCCATCTACAAGTCCTCCTCCCTCCCACCCACACACATACACACCCACCCCATCACTTTCCATGCTGCACAGAGATCTTCTCTGGGGTGAAGTGTCTTCCTCTTTAGCTAGAGAAAGGCAGTAGGAAATGCTTTTTTTCTTTTCTGTTTATGGTGTTTGCATGTTTCCTGACTTAACTCAGTTTTAAAGGGACTCTCTTGCAGGGAGTGGGTAACTGGTTTGAACTGCCCAATGTAGATGTGACACTGTTAAGATGTAAATAGTAGACAGTTCTTTGATCTGTTAAGTAGAAACATCTTTAACTATTAAAGGGATTTAAAATCCAATTTTCTTCACTATTTATAGTATATTTTAATTTTTTCCATGTTATTGGTGAATCTGAGGTTTGTCTCTCTTCTAGGTTTTCAATGTTGAAGTTTCTAAATTATAAATAGTACAGGATAATGAAAGATTATTTCAGTTAGAATTTTTTAAAAAGGACACTTTAAACAAAAGTTTAAAAATGCTTATTACCAAATCTAAAATTTGGGACAAATATACCATTCTTTAAAGGGGAACAAATACAAGTCTGAATATAGAAATGTAATTTTGCATTTTTAAAAATTAAATCTTATTTTAAAAAAATTTAAATTTACAAATTTAAGATCTTGATCCTTAATTTTAAGCATGTGCATCAGTATTTGCTGGATTTGATCTGTGGGAACAAAACATTTTGCCAATACCTAAAAACCAGTAAATGAAACTTCGACCAGTCTGGTGGCATAGTCCAAGTGGAAGAAAAGGCAAAATGTTAACAAATGGCATTAGTAAAAGAGTGAATTAGATTGCTAAAATTCTTATATTTATTTATGCTAGGGCAGTGTGTCTCAAATTTATTTGATCGGGGCCCCCTTTTTTGTGTCTGTAGTCCTTTAGGCCCCTGCTCCTGCCACACTGGTACATATACTGCCACCCAGCTCTGAAGGCAAAGTGGATGCCACCCTTACTTCTCTGCTGCTGCTGACAATGGTGCTGCCTTCAGAGCTGGGTGCCTGGCCAGCAGCTGCCACTCTCCAGCTTCCCAACTCTGAAGGCAGAGCGGCTTCTCAGCCCCCACCCTCGATTACATTCTGTTCCTCTTGCCCCCCAATTTGAGAACCTCTGTGCTAGGGTGTGGCTAGTAGCACAAAATCAGTCTGTTAAAATGTTCATTAACCTGATTTTGGCTCTTAGTCTTGCAGTTTTATTAATAGTGCATAATCTCTCCCCCAGTGCCGACTTTAATATTAAAAAAAACCCAACAATCTCTTTCTACTAAGAAATTCACTTGCCAACTTGCCCTTATAGTGTTTAATATGGTGTATCAGCCAGTACTGGCTCAATCCAGCTCCATTGCTGCTTTATCTCACCTTCTCTAAACCGAAGACTACACATTCTCCTAAGAGCTTGCTGGATTCTGGAGCAAGTTTGTTTTATTAGAATGAAATGGTCAGACAATAATTTATGTAACAATTTTATTCCCAGTTGCTGACTGAGGATGAAAAGGAGAAATACACAGAGATGGCTCATAAATGGAGAGCACAGAACTCCACCCAGGCATCAATGAAACAGGTAAATGGGAAGGTAGAAGAAGAAACCTGGAATTTGGAGTGGGCTGAATAAGAGGAGTAACACCGTTGCAGGGGTTGGTCAAAAATTGACACACAGGGCCACCCTAAGAACTTACGAGAAGCTTACCTTCTGTCCCTTTTCCTTTGCTAGTGTAGAAATACGCATGGCTATAATATTAGTTTGTAATTGTATCTTTCTTGGTAGTCCAGAAATGTCTTTAATTTACCAACAATGTAAACCTATAGTTGAGCGGCTTTACCTTCCTCCTACATCTACTCTTTAAATGGAGGAGAGAGCATGCAGTTCAGTATTCTGCCACACTGTGGACTTTTCCTCCAGAGTCTGCCTTACTCTGGATTTGGGGTTGAAGCCTAACTCTAATTAGGGCTATCATGTTAACAAGAAATGTTACTCCTTTTGCTATGACAGTACTGTGAAGGCTGTAGGTCACAGGCACTTGAGGTTGTAACTGTAAAGTTTGTTCATCTAAATACAAAATTATACCAGTTTAAAGGTGTGATTTCATAGCAGTTTAGTTAAGCCAATGCAACTCTGTGTGGACACTCATTTATGTTAGTTTTGCTTCCATTGTTAAATTTACAGTAGTACATAAACTTAAACCAACATAAGAGGCAAGTTGCACCAGTTTAACTAAACTAGTTTAACTTAGGGCTTGGCTACACTTGCAAGTTAGAGCACATTAAATCAGCCCAAGGTGCCCTAACTCCTGAGGTGTCCACACTGGCAAGGCACGTAGAGCGCCTGGACTCTGCGTCTGGAGCGCCTGTGGTAGTCCACCTCCACAAGAAGCATATAGCTTGCTGTGCCCCGGCTGGAGTGCTGGGGTGTCAGTGTGGACGATGTGTTTCATTACTGCACTGTGATTGGCCTCCAGAAACGTCCCATAGTCCCTTGAAGTCAAGTGGCCACTCCCCGTCATTGTTTTGAACTCTGCTGCAGGCATGCGGATATCCCCTTTCAAAGCCCCATTTCTGACAGCCGGCATGCTTATCTGCACCGGGAAAAAGCAAACCATTACTGTAGAATGCTGCTGCTGCAGAGGCAGGAGTTTGTGCGTGTGTGAGAGAGAGAGGCAGGGGGTGGGGACTGATATTGGGGTTTCCCACTGCTGCTGTCTGAACTTACAAGACAGCATGCTAACACACTCTCCCCCCCATACACACAACGCACTCCCTGTCACACTTCACCCCCCCATTTGAAAAGCACGCTGCAGCCACTTGCACACTGGGATAGCTACCACAATGCACTGCTCTCTGTGGTGTTGCAAGAGCTGCTAATGTGGCCACACCACTGTGCTTGCAGCTGACAGTGAACACATGGCAGCGCTTTCCCTGCTGCTGTCTCTAAGGGCTGGTTTAACTCCCGGCGCTGTACGTCTGCAAGTGTAGCCATAGCCTTACACTGGTGCATCTTCTGTATATAGACTACAGTAACTCCTTACTTAAAGTCGTCCCGGTTAACGTTGTTTCGTTGTCACGTTGCTGATCAATTAGGGAACGTGCTCGTCTAAAGTTGTGCAATGCTCCCTTCTAACGTCATTTGGCAGCCGCCTGCTTTGTCCACTGCTTGCAGGAAGAGCAGCCCGTGCAGGTAGCTGGTGGGGGCTTGGAACCAGGGTGGACTGGCAGCCCCCTATCAGCTCCCCACTCCCCTAAGCTCCCTGTGCAGCAGCTGTTCTTCCCCCCACTGCCATGTGCTGCTCCAGCCCTCTGCCTTGGAGCTGCTCCCAGAGACTCCTACTTGCTGTGCGGGGGAGGGGGGGGGGCTAATGTCAGGGTGTCCCCCTCCCCCCCGCACCCCGCTTACCCCTTCTCCATATAGAGCAGGGAGGGGACACGGACAGAGAGAGACAGAGAGAACTTGGGGCAGCAGCTGCTGTCTCAACTTCCTGATCCACTTAAAAAGACAATGCACTTAAGAGTGGGTCAGCTTACTTAAAGGGGCAGTGTGCATCTCTCTCTCTCTCTCTCCCCCACACACAAGGTGTGTGTGTCTCTGTCTGCTATGCTGTCTCTCCTCCCTCGTGTTTCTGCTGTCTTGTGTGAGAGGCTACATTAACAACAATGTGTTAACCCTTGAGGACTCAGCCAAGTGCTAGTGTGGGAAGAAAAGTGGACTCTAAATGAGGGAAATATCCCTCCCTCTTCCACCCTCTAACTTCACCACCTCAACCAAGCTTCACAATCAGCATAGCTGTGAACAATATTAAATTGTTTGTTTAAAACGTATACTGTGTGTATATCTATATAATATATAGTTTTTTGTCTGGTGAAAAAAATTTCCCTGGAACCTAACCTCCCCCCCC